TAGCCAGGCAGTGGGCCATGTTACTGCCAGCCCATGAGTGCATTAGAAGAGCCACGCAGTGTGGCTGTGCCAGGAGCAATATAATTTAGCAGCGCACCTTTAGTGCGGTTAACAAATAACATCAACTTATTAAATAAAGTTTCAATTCATGGAGAGAGCAACAACAGCAGCAACAACAGCAGCAAAACTGGAAGATGGCAACGCATCCAAGTGAACAGCGGCTACCGTACTGTGATTCTGGACATTAGACATCGGTGAGCAAAGGATGGAGGTCGCTGCAGGCGCAGCCGCAATAAATCATCACATCGAAGCCATGGGCGCAATTTGGGAGAGGAGACTGTGGGGGCAGCTCCGGCTGTTTGGCTGTTTGGCTGTTTGGCTGTCTGGCTGTCGGAGTGGCTGGGCTGGCAGTAACTGCGGCCAAGTTATGTGGCTTCATTGTGGACAGAATGAACGCTTTTAAGCAGACAATTGCAGCCTGCGGCGCAACTGCAGCAGCAGCGGGAATAGGAGCAGCAACAACGCCAACACGGCAGCAGGTACGCAAAAAAAAAAAATGAAAATGAAAAAAGAAATACAAAACTGAGACTAAAGATTGCTGAGCCACCATCTAGCAGCTCCCACTGCCCCAATGCCATTGTTCAGCAGCGAGGAGTTGGTTCTTGTTGCTGCAGGAACAGCAACTGCTGCTGCTGCTCTTGTTGTTGTTGTTGCTGCTGCTGCTGCTGATACACATTTTCGTAGGCAGCGCTGTGCACATAAATCATTGAGTCGACTCCAACTGCAGCGTCGAATTGCCTGCTTGCTCGCTTGCAATATGAGTTAATTTCTGCGAGCCGAGAGCAGTGTGCGGGGCCGAAAGCGTATTTACGTATTTGCGTATTTGTCAACTGCAAATTACAACTTTTTCCCACACGTTCGCCTGCCTACCTATCGCAACGTTGACACACAGCACAGAGCACATGTGGGTGTATGTTGCGATTTATGGCACGCCCGGCATTATAAATTTTCTATTAACTCGCCAGACGTCAGCCGGCGACCAGCACCTGGGCGAGAGTGTGAGATTTGCATTGAATGCCCAGAGACAGAGCCAGAGCTAGAGCAGGGCACCTTTGTCGACTGTCGACTCTCCGCTGTCTGCTGTCTGCTGTCTGCTCTCTGCTGTTGATAGCGCATTATCTGTTTAAGGCTTTAATTTTGCTTACCAAAAATGTACGCAAAATAAGTGCGCGAGCCACAACGCCTTCTACGGAGCGAGGACGCGACGTCTGCTGACTTCAGGCAACTGCATTTGCATGCAATTGACTTGAAAGGCGTTGCGTTGCGGATGTTCGTGAGTGTCCCTGGTGCTGGCGTTGCAGCAGTTGGCTGTCGCATCTCATTGAACCCGACAAATTGGTCATAATTTTTAGCAACTAAGTAATCCCAATAAACATGGCCCAACATTGTGCACCTGACATTAAGCTGCCAAGCGTACAACTAAACAGCTATCAGCTGTCGAGAATAGAGATAGAGAGCGGCAGAGATAGAGACTCGCTCTTGCACTTGCAGTGGACAGCAGCAGCCGCAGCAGCAGCAGCAGCAGCAGCAGCAACAGCGGCAGCAGCCAATAAAATGCATTTATCTGTGCATCGATCAGCCAGAAACCTGTGTGCATGCAGCCTGCACAACTGTAGCGCGCCGCATCGGCTTGGCCAGCAGTCACACATCAATTGCAAATTAACAGTAGTTAAAATCCAAATGAATTTGCGAGTGCCGCCAATTTATGCAGCTGGCAGCTTATGCCGCTTAATCTGCCGGTTCAAAGGTTGTGCTCACATCGCCCGTGTGATTTAAGCACCAGCGCTGAAATATCCTCAATGAAAACCTCCTCGACCCAGCCTGATTTAGCATTGGCTAAACGGACTCCAAAAGCAGCGCGTATCCATCAGATACACACACACTCACACAATCAGTATGGCAACGTTTGCTCAATCAGTATGGCAACGAAGTCTGATTGGTTTTCAAAATTCACACGCTGCGCGCTGCTTATCGAGCTGCAATAAAAAAAAAAAGCAAAAGAGGTAAAGGAGTTGCACGTGTGTGTATCTGTCAGATACAATTTTTGGCTGTGCACGAACTTTAAACTCTTTTTCCAATTGCTAGCTGCCTTGAACGTTGGTAAACAATAACATTTCAATTGCACACACACACACACACACACAACTGTATATTGCGTCACATGCAAAACGCTTATCGCATCAGTATAGCAGCGATATATGAGTTCTTGCCGCTTATTTGTGTGTGTGTGTGTGTGTGTGTGTGCCTGTGTGTTATCTGTGGGTGTAATTTTCTCACGGTTCAGTTTTCAGTTACTCGGACCTAAATTGCGTTTGCACATTTCCCTTTTCTTGTATCTTCTCTTTTTCTGTAGTCCACTCGCCTTTTTGCCCACCGTTTTGTGGGTGATTACGAGAGAAGCAGAAAATAACAAATAAAAAACATACAGTCTACAGCACCTGAATAAATATCTTATCAGCGTTTCGTTTCGTTTTTCAGCACTTAATATCACATGTTAATTTGACTTCTTAGCTCTCAGCTCTCAGTTCTCGCTCGCCCTTCCGAACGCCATAAAGAAGCGTGGGAATGCGCTAAAAATTGTTGCAAAATATGGCAACTGTTGTTGTCGCTGCGGTTTGGCAGTCGACTCCTTATCACTCGCTATCAAGTGCTCGGCTTGCTTGCGCTTACCGCAAATAAACATGTGTGCCAAATCTCCTCTCGCTAGCCGCTGGGAAATGTCAATAGAGCGAAGGCGATAACTAATTATTGGGACGCATTCCCAAGGTCCAGTGAATTAGGGGGCGTTTGGGAACAATTAAAAATCGGGTAGACCATGGGAATGCTAAAGTGCATACGGATTCAACTGTTTTAAAGTCAAGTCCATATTATAACATATTATATGGATAATACTTAATAAAAATAATATAATAATAAAAGTAATTACATCTATAGTTTAAATTTAATCTGCCTTAACCAATGAGCTCATTCTCAATTTCACATAAAAATAGAATAAACTTAATCTCTGAAGTAAGAAAGCTCTAGTCGAGACTGCTCGACTACGAAATCCCCTGGGCCCTTCGAGTAACTGATATTTCAATAATTATTACATAGCTTCTTTTCGGCTCACACAGAATAAAGCACATGCACACACACATGCACACAGTGTGGGCTCAATTGTTTAATAAATTTGCTTGTGCGTGGACTATCTTCATAAAACTTCAGACCCTTATTATAACATTAATATGCATATATTTGCCATAACACAAAGTCTCTACTTATTGAAATGCAGGACTAGCTATCGATTTTTTAAGAAAAATGCGCGTGGTATACACGGACCTAGGAAATCAAATTTCAAGTCTCTAGCTGTTATATCTTCTGAGATCGACGCGTTAAAACATACGGACAGACGGACAAGAATATATATACTTTATGGCGCTTGCGATGATTCCTTCTACCTGTTACATACCTTTCACAAAACCAGTATACCCTGATTTCCCATTTTCAATGGGTTCAGGGTATAAAAAACACTCCAAATTTTGGGATACTTTATTATTCGATCTTTTCTTTAACAACTAACGAAATTATAGTTTCATTAGAAGACGGATTATATTTAAAACTTGGAATGGTATCCTTCATATTTAAGATTGTATTTATAAATTTAACCAGTCGATTGAGCCTTCATTGACCAATTGCTGGTCACTCAGTTTTCTCTTAGTTTTAGGAAGCAGGGGCTATCATATATTTGAGCTAAAATACCTATTCTAATATGTGACTTAGCACTCGTCAATTAAGAGTCATCGTACATAAGATGATAAATAATTCAGGATTCTTTTGTCAGCATTTCACTCCTCAGCCTGTTCTTGGAATGATTTAAGGAACATAGTCTTAGAATCCAGTAACTAAAGTGTAAGTTAGCCTATCCGCAGTGAAGATAGAATAGAACACAAGGCATTATTCTATTACTGTTCTCTTTTGCTTTCAAGTCAGTGATCAAGAAAAAGACGTTGGCAGTTTTAAAAGTAGCCTTCTTAATCTAAAGGTCAAAAAGCATGCAATACTTTTGTCAAACAAATTCCATAGCATACTTTGATGCTGCACATAATAATTATCTGTAGCATACTTTTGGTCTGTCGTTTATAAATACGTATACATATATGTATAAAGAATGATTAATAAGACATACAGGGCACTCCAGAAGCCCCTTTGGGATCTTAGTTTCAAAATTCTACTCATTTCGGAGCGCTGTCCAGCTTAGCTGTAGCAATTGACTTTAGTCAATATTTACAAATCAATATTAATGAGACATGTGCGACAGCTTCTGTTCATCATTGCAGGAGACCTCCAGTTGAGCCTGCTAAGAGTTCGGTGTCTTGGGAGTGTGTTTCTGTGCTGCTCTGAACTCGAGATCTGGTTGATTGCATCAAATACCGTGGCCAAGGCTCTGACCCATGTGCTGTTTTGAATAAACCATTTGCAGCCAGTAATCAATCTAAAAATTTTGTTCTGGGTAACCTGAACAAAACTGAATTTACGTGCAAGCTTATACTAATATAATACATAACACTCAATGGCGTACCTAGAGCATTAACGCATGGAATAACAGATAATTGCGGTCGGGGCGACCGCCTGCCCAATCTGTATCTCTCTCTGTCCCTCTCTATCTCTCTCTTTATGCATGTATATATATTATATAACACTATGATTGTCTGTGGACAAGAGAAAAAGAGAGAGAGAAGAGAAATAGTCGATCTGGATAAGACTGCCTACCGGAAATCCGTTATTGGGCACAGTTGAAAATATATAAAATTTGAAAGGAATACACAGGTACTATTATATTATATTAGTTTAATTGATTTTATTACAAATTTTGAATTGCTTTTGGTTTATACTGATTAAATTTTGTTTTCCCGTTCATGTCATCTAGAAAAACTAAATAAAATTCGAATATGGTATTTGTATTATTTTGAAAATAAAATTTTATTTGCAAATGATGCAATTTGTGTCATTTAGGATACGTATGTGTATATATATATATGTCATGAATAATAGAATAGGGCATACAAATTAAGAAATTCAATGATATTATAATGAACGAAAAATATAACGAAACTAACATTGGTTCTGCGCATGCGTTCATGTTTTGTGTGTTGTCAGTTTTTGTTTTGTTTCCTCTTGTTGTGTGTGTAACTAATTTAGTTCGGCTAAGAACTAATTACAACTACTTTAACTACGATATATTTTGCTGTCAAAAGATCACTACGTTTACAAAATCACTTTTGGAAGAATTCTCTAAATAAATGTGATGCCACGATTACTGTTCGTAATGCGGCATCGACTAAATCAAATACTTTGCTTGGATGATAGTAATTTTATGGTTAGAAAGGCAGAGGGGTATAGGGGCAGAGGGGTTGCAAGATAGCCGCCTGTTGATTAGCTTGAATGAGGCTCATGATGTTAGAACATAATCGGTTTATAGTTTTATTTTAATGTTTTAATAGGGTGGATGGATAAATGAGAGTGGTGGGGGCATTGATTGGGAACGTAGGTGAAAGTGTCGCAGAGGGAGAATCTTATAAAACTTTGGTTAGCCCTAAAATTAGTTAAAAACTTAACTTAGATATCCCTGTGCTTAGAAGAGTTTTATTAAAACTAATCTAAATTAAATTAGCATAATCCTTCGGCGGCCGCTCACTGTGCATCGCCCCCATGGCCGCCGTCGAACTCGGCCTGGAACTCGCGTATGCTCACGTACGTGCCTGTCACAAAGCCAACAATGCCGAACAGTATCAGGCCGGAGTTCTTCCACAGTCGCCACTTGAAGCGCCCGAAGCCGGGCTCCTCGTAGTACACAGCCAATTCGATGACCGCTGGCACGATCATGCCCAGCGTACTCAGGCAGACGGCGCCGATGAGCGAGATGAATGGCCCGAGATTGGGCAGCGCCACTGCAATGCCGCAGCACAGGCACTGGCAGATAGAGAAATTCCACAGTGAGTTATTAGCAGAGCATTGAGCAATCTAATGAGACTTACCACCAGGCCCACTCGCATGCCGTACTCGCTCATGTTCTGGCGGGCAGCGGGAATCTTGCTCTCGATGCCCTTCCAGAGAATGCTGACTGGCACATAGAACTGCAGCGTAAAGGTGAAGAATATGGCAATGGCAATCATCAGCTTGACGGACTGAGCCAATCTGCAAGAGAGAATATGAATCGAAAATAAATAAGTCGGTACGACGCTCACGCTCTGCGCTACTCACTTGTCTTCCAGTGGCAGGTTCAGCGTTATGCTTGCCTGGGTCTCGTCCCCGTACTTGAGGTAGCCGAAGAAGCCGACGAGTGTGTAGAGGCCGATGACCAGGCCCATGCCGAAGTTAAGCACCGAGGGGCAGCCAATGAAGTGGCTGGGGTTCTTCATGTCGTTCTCCAGGGACATGACTACACCGATGCCCTCGAGGGCGAAGATGACCGTGCCGAAGAAGAGGGGCCATTGTGCGGGCGGCACGATGCCCGCGCGCTCAGACGGCGCTGGCAGATCCGAGAACATATAGATGAACGTTATGACAATGCCCACAAACATCAGAATATTGGCGATCATGGAGAAGGGCGTCAGAAACTTGAGATTGCGCACCAGGCACATGAACACCAAGGGCGCCGACACGATCACAATCCACAGGCGCACGCTCAGCTCGGTGTCCATGTAAACGCCGACGACCTGCTGCACATTGGTTGCCACAAACACCAGATAGATGCAGCAGCAGCCCAGCAGATCGATCACCAGAAACGTGTTCACCATGAAGCGTATGAAGCGGGACCAGCGATTCAGGGCGGGCGGGCCATCCAGGAAGGCCTGCTCGGCCACATCGGCGAAACCCATCATGGGTATCTTGCGACGCCGGCACAGTATGTGGGCACACTTGACCAGCACGTGGACGCAGTAGGTGCACAAGGTGCCGACGGCAAAGGTGGCCAACAGGCCGAACCACAGACCGGCATTGGCGAAGGCCATGGGCATGGCCAATATGCCGGAGCCCAGAGAGCCCTTAAGCAGATGCACAAAGGTCTCCAGGTCACTGGAAATCGAAATGAGCTCGAGTAAAAATTGGCATGCAATGCATCTACTACTTAAATAATATCTATATTACGCAAATCCCGTCTGGCTGCCAAAAATAAATAAACTATCTTAAGTTGCATTCAAATATTTACAGACTATCAGAGAACTCTGCCAAAACACTGCCGACTGCTGCGTTTCTAGCGATGATTCGCATGGTCAGAGATATATAATAGAGAGCGCGTTGCATGCACATATACAGGTATATCTTGTATGAACACACACTCACACGCTTATATCAGTGCGTCAACTAGCCGTAAATTTCATAATTAAAATTAAAAATTGTATTTCTATGTTTAGAGCAGTTCGTTAGTGAGTCAATTCCAAAGTATGAATCGAAATTGTTGAATCTAGATTGTATTAAACTTAGTTTGCCTAACCCAACATTCTCTTTTTGTTCTGGCAGTGCAGCGCAAATGATTTCATGCCGCGCATGCCCCTCTCTCTGCGATTCTCATCCACAGCCACATTTTGAATTTTGCACTGCGAACGAATCGTTTAGCATTATCTCGACATTTGTTTTTGTTTTTGTCGTATTCTGTTCTCGTTTCTATTTGCGAATTTACTTTATTTTTAGTTTAAAAGCTTTTCGGCAAAAGTCCAAGGACAATGTCAATAGAATTTCAAATGTATTTCCGTTTTTTTCCTTTTCGTTGAAACCACAAAGCCAAGCAGAGAAATCAAAGTCTAGGCAAAAGTTCAATGACGTTAATTAACTAGTTAGTCATTGATTTATCTATAGCAAATATCAGCTGTTTATATAAGATATTTCGAGAACACACTTTTGATTCGATTGTGTTGCACATTGCCATAGATACCAATATGCATACACCCGTACACCCGGTGCAAAGGACATTGGGTCCTTAACTGAATTTAAGGTTTCTACGAGTTAATTTTCATACCATTGATACTTACGATGTGGGGTGCTCCACTTTGCGATGCTCGAAGGGATTGTAGAGGCCGTCCTCGCCATCGTCGCCGCCTTTTTTGCGCGTCAACACCAAAGGAAGGGTGGAGCCCGCCGCCTGCTGGGCAGGCACATCGGCCATGTCGGAGCGGATGAACCTATCCGAGGATGAATACATTTCGAACATTGTAGTCGAGGAATTGTTATCGACATTCTTGTACATCTTGTACAGCGAGTGCACAATCTGTATCTAGTTGTAGGAGTGATTGGTTCTTGAGTCGGATGCGCGATATAGCTACGTTGGCCACGGCATCGAAAACTTAAATGAAAGGTACTCACTTGGGCTGGCCCATGCTCGCGTTGTTCCTGTTGCCATTTTTCCTCTCGCTGTCGTAGACCGTCACAACCGTCGGAATTTTCTGCAAAAGAGATTGCCGATCGTCAGAATTCGATTGAGCAACTGATCTAGTGCAATGAATCAAATGCCACTGCACAGAGAGAAACAGAGAGAGACAGAGAACGAGAGCGCGCACTTATGTAAATCGGCCAGCTGCTGCTGCTGGCACTAGCTACTAGCTACCACTGCAGAGAAATGCAGCTATGCCAAAAATTATTTACGTATTTGTTGGTGCGAACATTGTTTTCGTCAGTTTATGGCCAGCGGCGAGAGTTGAGCGGCATCTTGGTAACTTGTTGCTGGATATGCAGCCAGATGACCTTGGGAATCTCAGTGCGCAAGGTCAAACGAGCACAGTTTACATCACTAGACGCGAACGAATCGAAAAACTTGTGCGATTCAACTGTAATGTTTCGATAAACAAAACACCCGACAATGCAGCGCATTGAGACAATTTTTGGCACCACACGCCGTATGCGCAATATTCAAGTTCAATAGACAAACTGCTATGCGGAAGAAGCAAAATGCGTTCAAACGCGTACACACACGCAGTACACAGCAAGCAGTTCATTTTCAGCTTTTCAGGCGCACCTGCTGATCCATGCTGGCGCCACTCAACGATGTGGTCATTGTGGCAGCACCACTTGATGGCGCCGGCGGTGGACCGCCGCGTTTGAGCGACATCTTCAGCTTGTGGCGACTGAGCACGCCGCTGGATAAACGCGTCTCGTGCTTCCTTGGGCCAAAGCTGCTCAACTCCTGCTCATGCGGCTGCTGCTGACGCGGCGGCAGTGGCGGCTTTCCGGCGGTGGCGTTCAGCTTGAAGGCGTTGCGCTTTTCGCAGTCGATTTCGAGATCAAATTCAAGATCGAGCGATTAAGCGACATGCGCGACGTTTTCACGTGCAGTTCCAGTGAGTGACGATACAAATCTGTTCGCGTCCACGGCCAATGTCGTCCGCTTATATGCACTTTTGTTGCCAAAATGAAAAGCGACAACTACAGCAGCGGCCACAGCGAGAGTGGTCTGCGGTATATTGCGAATAGCTCGAAAATAAATAGTAGACACAGAGCAGCACAGGAACCCACACAGCAGCAGAGACTGCTGCATCAGAAGGGGCGCCTTTTCCGAACTGAGCAGCCATTGAGTGGTGCCAGTAGTGGGAGAGCTCAGAACGAGATTTTCGGCAGCTGTAACTGCTGAGATACACTGCTTGGGCTGCAGCAGCATACAGAATGCCCGCATTAAAAATGACGTCATTGAATGTTTTGTCTGCTGCTATTGTTTCCTATATATTCACACGTGTATCTAGCAAGGCAGCGAAATAGAGAAAGAGAGAGAGAGTGAAAGAGAGAGAGAGAGAGAGACAGAGGGACGGGGATCGGAGAACGGAGAAAGAGAATCGTGCGCGTTGCTATTAAAAAATAGGTACAATATCAACGTGTGCTCCCACATATAAATTGATCGAAATCAGTGCGACGCCGTAAGCGACATGATCCGCCTATGGTAAGTGCGACGTAAATAAAATTAATGAGGAAACTGTAAATTTGCGCAAAAATGTGCGAAAAATATTTACGACGGCAGGCGCAATACACAAATAGAGCCAAAAGCCAGCTTGATTTTAGTAATTTTTCATGATTTGTATTTTTGTTTGAAATTGTCCAGAGTTAAAGCAAGGGGCAGATGTGTGTTTTATTTATTTATTTTTTTATTTTATTTTTTTTTTTTTTATTAGAAAATTGCAGCATAAATAACCCATTTATTCGCCACATTTAGCTCAATTAAAATAAAAAATTTGTTATTTTGAATTATTTATGAGATAAACGGATTATGTCAAATAAACAACGACAGGCAACAGTGCGTATACTTATTGTACATTTGCTACTGCCATCTATGGTCGTTTAGGCGAAACTGCAGCAAATACGCCACACTTAACAGCGGCGAGCGCTGGCGCGCAGAAAAGTAGGCAACGACTTTTTAAAAACATTTTCGCGGCAATTGCAGTAAGGCCGAACGCGCTCGGTTTTGACGTTTATTATATAATACAAAATAAATATTTTAATTTCAATGACTAGTGACATTCGAACGTTGAGTTATAAAAAATTTAGTTGCTATTCGCTACAAATAATTTTTAAATATAAAAAAAAAAAAATAGAAACATTTAAATATTGAATTTTAAAATAAACTCGAATTGAAAAAGAAATTTATTTTAATCAAAAATAAAAACAAAGATACAGTCGACTCTCGTTATTTCGACATTCAAGGGACTCTTAAAATATTTCGAATTATCGAATGTTTGAAATATTAAATGGTAAAATTTTAAGAGAAAATAAATAAAACTTCGAATTATCAAGGGTTTTTATTTAACGTAATGTACATACACATGTTCAAATTAATTAAGACTTATAAAGAACTCATTTATACGGGTTTGCTTCGAAGCACATTGCTTCTGCTCAGACTTTTCAATAATTTTTTTAAAGACAAAAAGTGCCTGATATGCTTCTTCATCAGTTTCGTTTTGTAGACAAAAGCTTTGTAAGTTATCCAATGAGGCTCTTGCTACCTTAACTGACACCATTGCCAAAGATTCTGATGTATCGTGAGTGGAGTGGAATCTTAAATTCTTTTGCAACATCGCTTTTCTTCTCACCTCCTTCTACTTTTCCAATTAGTTTCTTCTTTTCAGCAATCGTCACACTTTTATACTTTTTAGGACTCATTGAATAAAAAATTTTAATATGTATACTAACGAAGCGATTCGTGCGGAAGCGAGCATCAAAATGTGCCTATGTTTTATGCGTAACTCGTAGCCACGCACAATAAAGTTAGTTTCAGGGGAGTCCCAAAATTCAAATTCAAAGTTCTTACTAACACACCAAGAAACTTCGCAAATTCGAATTGTCAAGTGTTTAACCATATGAGTACGAATTACCGCGTCTTAGCAATGATTTTTTAGCTCGAATTACTGAGTGCTTAAAAATGTATGGACTTAATTCGAAATATAAAGAGATTTTGTAGGGGACTCGTGATAACTTTGAATTAATGAGAGGTTCGAAATAACGCGGTTTCAAATAACAAGAGTCTACTGTATTTGTTTACAATAGACAAATTTAATTCAGTCTAAGCTCTAACCTTACATATATTTTATATTAAATGTGCTTTCTATAAGTCTCCCGGTTCATAAGAAGCTGATAAAACTTAGTAGAGGTATACCTCCATTCCATTGCTTCACTCCCTCCTTAATGGTGTTCACTCTTAGAAAAAATCTTAAACAACTGTAGCACATGCCAAAATGGAACTTGACAGTTTAACGCATCAGTTGACATTTTTTATGGACCACAAACATATGAGTGCTATAAGCGTAAGCGCATAAATTTCAGACTGCTAGATACCCTCGAGAAACATTCATATATTCATATATACTATTTATAAATAATACAGATGTATATAAATATTTTTTCGTACATATTTTAGGTTGCCAGAGTACCAGAGTACACATTTGGTTTTCTTTTTCATTAAGTTGTATTGTTAATAAAATATATTTAAATGACTTGGATTCAATTTTAATAAAAAACAACTGCAAAAACTATATAGCTAAGACTATAATCTTAGTCTGTAAAACCCATGCATATGGATAACGACATCACACCCTGTTTATGCATATTGCATCGAGATTAACACAGAAATTCCGAGAGCTGTAAATCAACGAATTCCCTAGTTTTCCATAGACAAAAGCCAACATTCGAGCAATAAAATGTGCCTTATTTAGTGTTTAAGTATATGGCATAACAATAATTGCTTATAATCATCGCTTCACATCACAAGTTCGAAATAAAAATAGTTTACGCAATAATTAGACAGCTGGGCAGGCAGAAACTCAGCTGCATTGTGGCGCCAGTGCATCTACAATAATAATAATATCCAGCCAATCCGGCAGCCAGTCACCCAATGAGACAGTCAACTGTTTTGTCGCGTGCAACATTATATACTGTGCAATAGTTTAAAAATAAAAAACATTTACAGTGCTAACAATTTTTTTCCGCATTTAACGTAGCGTGTGGTCTTTTGTTGGAGGGTCTAGAATTTGTACCCGCATTCAAATAGCAGCAACAGCTACCCAAATAACACGAGCAAAATGGAAGCGATTCGAGACTGCCTGACTAGAAGATGCCCTGAACCCTGGGAGAAACTCCAGTCTTTCCATGATTCTCTGATTCATAAGCAAGAGCTCTGCTAGCAGCGCAGTTTAATTTGAGCTATTTAATGGGTGCCTTTATTCTTTCTTTTAGGAAGACTTGCACAAATAATATTCATATGCGTAAGTTTGTCAAAGTAAAAGTCGCTTATATTCAAAAAAAACATTATTTTGAATATAGAAGAGAAAAAAAATACTTTTCTCATTTCATAGAAGTAAAAAGTTAATTTGATATCTCCAGCTTCTACAGTGGGCACACCAAAATGGGATGAGTTCTCTATACCAATTTATATATCTCATTTCATTTTTACCAGATCTCTGACATCATAAGGACGGACTGAAAGACGGTCATGGGTATATCGCTATAACTCACTTCGACACGCAGATTAAGAACGTATATACTTTATGTCGTTCGCCGGGCCTTGTTCTGCCCGTTCCCCTTGCTCAAAATCATTATACCCCGACTTCCCATTTGCAATGGGTTGAGGGTATATGCATAAAGTAAGGCACAAAGCATGTGCACAAAACAACATTAACGTAAATGGAGCTCAAAAGCGAACAGCAAACAAGCTTCCCGCTCCCCCAGAGAGAGCAGCGAAAATAGCGATCGACACGTGTCGCTGGGGCTCTTCAAGTTCAATATGGTCACAACGGACGATAGAAATGCAAGCCATGGCGAATTAGGAGCTAGAGAAGCCGTGATAAGAAATAATTTTTTATCAAATGAACATTAAATTGAACAAATGAAAACTAAAGAAATAGTTATTGCAAAAATTTCAAAGAGTTTCATTGTTAAGCGTATTTCTCCTCTCCCTCAGCACATGATATAATAATCGGAATTGGGAGCAGGAATGGGTAACTACTTCTGTCTTTAACTTGAATAAGATCATGAAGGTTTATTTAATTTATTTTTATCCAGCTGCCAGTTCAATATAGATATATGCCGCTTTTAAATATTTGCGAAATGATTTATTCTACAAGCGTAGCCGTATTATATTATAGAAACAATATACCTTATTGATATATTGCATAGGCATGCAATGAGAAAATTCTATTTATAGTGCCGATTGTCAAGTATGCATTGTATAATAGTCAGCCTAAAGCAAACAGCATGCCAAATGTCACAGCTAATATAACCCCAAGATGACGCAGAAAGTCGTGAAATGTACTAAAATTAAAGTAAACGTGATTATGGCCAAATGGCAAATGGCAAATTCAAATTGAATCTTTTTTTATTAAATCGATACAACAATTGGCAAAGTTGGTAGCCCATCAATCAATACTGAATTCCTAGTTTATTGTAGGTATTTCTTAATGTGTGCATTTCGATAGCGATAGCATACAAATTGATTCCAATAAGTCCGATAAGAACCACAAGAGGAAACACTGTCCGCAGCACAAAAATCTCAGTGTAATCTGAGTACGTGCTATTACAAAATTGCGCTACAAGTGTAAATAATTATTTTCTAGACTTGCAATGCGTGTTGGCACGATATGACGAAATGGCCCACACTCTGCCCTAGCACACTCAACAACCCCTCCCACCCATCCCCTTATAAGTGCAATGACTAACTAAGCAAATTCGCACATTCGCAGGCGTACAGGGCTAGCAGAAACATGCCTTCATGTCTCACATCTAATTAAAAGGCACCTTTGGAGCGTTAGAGCTAGGGCAGTTCTGAAGCTCCATAATTCTGCGTCTATGGGCTCTTCATAGTTCCAACCGCATGCCATTGAACTTACATAAGCGAGTGGAATAGAAACAGAAACAGAAGCAGCAGGGAAATGAAATCGAAAACGGCACAAGCAGCACAAAAAATAACAAACAAAGCCAACAATTTGTAATGGAAAATTTTTTACAAAACTGGCTAAAATGCAAGCAGCGAATATACATACATACATACATACATATATAAAGCACAAACGAATAGTGCATCACGTGGCGCCCCGCGTCGGCTGAGCGGGGCTTGTTGCGGCTGCGACTGAACTCGGCACAGTCGAGTTCTAGCTAAATAACTGTTAGCAATCAGTCAATGCAAACACGTCGATTTATGGCTAGGTATGCTCGCCGAAATGTCGCACGGGGCGTATGGCAAATGCATTGAAATTGCATTTTAGGCGCCAAACAACGCTCAGATAAGATAGTCAATGGGGCGGCAAGTCCATGAGGGGGATACCATTTCGATATTCCAGCTGCGACGGGCACCAATCAGAGACAGCATTAATAAGCGCAAATTGAAACGGATTCGATCCGAACACAAGTTGCTCACAACTGAACAGCAATTAGAGAACCCATTCGAGACTCTGTTTACCTGAGCCCCTAACAGAATTTGTGCGGCAGTCGGGTTTCAAGTGCAGCGGAGTTGCTTGGCTCGGGGAGAACACGAGCGATATTTGCAGTGCCAGAGTCGAGAGAGTTTGGCCACACTTTCTCAATGCGACATGAATGCTCATGGCATGGAAAATTACCAAATGCGATCGAATTTTACATTGTGCCACTTAGTGAAAACCAAACTCAGCAAATTCACTGGCGGCGCTTGCGCACCAGCAGCACGAGCGACAGACCGCCTGATCGGGCGACTGACCGACTAACGGACTAGCAGACAGACCGACAGACAGACAGAGTATTCGAGTCAAAGTACAAAATACCATGATTTTTGTGCATATTGCCACGAAATCGTAAACGCGCTCAGCACAAATATGTAAACCCTGAAATATGCTGACGCGGTAGGTAGACGAAAGACGAAAGACGACAACGTCGACGTCGACGTCGCCGTCGGCATAGACGGCGAGCAACATGCCCTACATCGTCCCCTTGAGCATACGCGCACCGAGCTCGAGTCCCAGCCAGGCAAACATAAAAATGCAAGGCGCTCGCACAGGCTGCGAGTGGAAAATTCCACTGCTCACAAACAAAGACAACAAACATTAGCAACAGCAACAACAACAGCAGCAGCAACAGCAGCAATTACAACAGGAACGAGCATGCAAAAGTCATTGTTTGGCTGTAGGAATAAGAGCGAGCGAGGGTGGAAATGTTTAAGTGTGTTTCTCATAGCGACAACAGTAGCCGAAGCAGAAACATCCCCGAAATTAGACTTCAGTTTTGGGATTCCTCGATTCGTTATCATATCATGCAAGGTAAACGATTTGCATGCCAATTCGATCAATCAATAAAAGAAGCAGCAAAGAGTTCTAGAAGGTTTAGAAGTAAGCTCTATTTATATGGAATGCTTATTGTCAAATGACACCTGATTAAATAGATATGTCACATGATTCACTATCTCTGGGAATCAAGTAAGACCGAGCTAGGTGGAATTCACTCTGACTCAGAACTTAAATTGAATATCGCAACAAATTACATGAGAAATAATTATCAATTGGTCTAATGCAGATTTCGTTTCATTCTAATACGATAGAATGAACCAGTCGAATGGGAACACAACTGTCATTACAGGCCACTCTAACGGTTTTCAGATAACAACAACCTAGTGGCTCTGTCGTCATCAGGCGAGCCCAACATTAACCCCCTGAGGGAGTTCTCTCATTAACATAAGTCGGAAACCGGAACTCGGAACTCGGAACTTGAAGCCCTCACGAACCACTTGGGTATGGTACTTACAGTATATTCCGCCGGTGCGAGCGGCGTGCGTGAGTCGCTTTTGTGAAAACTCATTTTCACCGCAGCGAAAATCCAGTTGGTCCTGTTATCCTGTCGGCAATGGCAACTGTCGCGCGCTTAACGTATTCTGTAAACTCTCGGTCAACGCGTTGCAGTGCGTTTTCCAGCAATTTCCAAACACTTTTTGCGATACAAAATAAAATTTAATGGGGAAATTTAGTGCAAAAATTGAGACTCGATTTTTTTGGTTTATTTAATTTTGTAAAAAGATAAAATGCAATATTACTAATGCAATTCTCAACACTTGCGACCGCTCTAGCTTCGATAGAAAACCAAAATTTTCTTCTCAGCCTTATTTTCTTTGTGTCGAGGGAAATTGAAAACGTTGCCAAGACGTTGCAAAGAAATTTTCAAAGTTCTGACAACCGCACGGTTTGACAAACAGAACAAGAATGCCAACCTTCGCGTAAAAACGAGCGAGTAAAAATGCACGACTTGGCGATTGAGCTGCCAGAGAAAAGAGAGCGTGAAGCCGCGAGAGACGCACAGAGAGCGACGGAGAGTGAGAGAGAGGAAGAGAGCCCGTCCAGTTCCGTGTTTGATAATGAACACGTAAACTTCCATCGAAAGGAAACTTGTTCGGTACTCATATGGGCGTACCGGGGACTATCCAATATTCTCAGTTCCGCTGCACTTATTTGATACATGAATCCGAAACTCTCGCTCTCTCGAACAAATAGTAACGCAATCATGAAATCGAAATCTATCAATCGACAGAGTCGACTCATAACAATACCCTGCTCGAACAATCCACCCCGCTAGCATTATCATGTGCATTCATTTTGCTCATGACATATGTTCCTAACTGAATAGTTAAAGTAAATACGAATATATATGTAGAGCGAGAAAAAGGTTAAAAGTTAAGTACAAATATAATTTATACTATTCGATAATAATAATGTGTGTATAAAAACCCAAAAATAGTTGACGACAATAAGTTGCAATAAATCAATATAATTTTTGTATATCGATAAGAATAATATGCTATCCATAAACAAAAAAAAAAAAAAAAAAAAAAAAATTGTTTGTTTAATTATTTATTTGTATTTATTTTTGCAACTTATGATAGCTATTGGTTATATATGTTTATTGCTGTATAACTAATGTGCAGGCATTGTAGATAAGGCATTCCATACATGGAAAACTCTCCACAATATGCATAGCAAATAATGCTCTAATTAATTAGCGATGCCGTTAGATAAAAGAGGGCCCAAACAGAGACAGAAATAGAAAGGGTCGTTTATTCACTGGGGCCGAGCTTGGCGAAAATATGTAAAAATATCCAACTGCGCAAAACCGAATGGAACGGAACGTCATGAAGTTGCATTTGCCTCTCCGCAATTTCCCCTTTGGCTGATAAAAATAACTTTTCTGTCACTCGCCCAATTAGGCATCAATTGAATTGTGTGACGTTTACCCGAAGCAAGGCAAGCAATTGGCCACTGATTGCCGAAAATGTGAAAACGCAACATCGACGCATTGACATCGATTAAGTCAAGGAAAGTATATAATATATAAATTGAATACGTGCTCGTATATAAGCAAATAAATGGAAATGTGTCTATAAAACAACTGCAAATTTAAATCAATTTATGTAGGTTCTTTGCGGCGCATTTATTTATGTGTAATTCGAAACGTGACAGCTGCAAAAATCGAATCGATACCGATCTCGTCTAACATATAACCGGAGCAAACCAGATCGCTGCGAGCATATGGAAACTTTTCTGATTCCGATTTATTATTTGCGGATCAAAAAACAATTGAAGGAATTAGAAATAGCTTCAACTTGACCGACTTTAGCGTTTGAAATCAAAATCCATCAAGAGAGCAGATTATATAAAAATGGCATTGAAGTCAACCTGAACCTTTGTCCTTGCATGAATTCCAATCGCAAATCAATATGTGCATATGATATTATATCTAATGGATGTATGTATGCAATGAATTAGAGACTGACCGCTTCCTTTTCGATTCTAAGTATAGGAAAATTGTTTTTCAAATAATTCTAATTTAATCAAATATTTAGTTTATAAAGCCATCTGTATGATGAATAATATTTTAAAATTCCAAATCTGAAATGCATCTCATTTGAACTTCCGTTTCAGTTTACTTTGTCGCGTAAATTAATATTGCATACTTTTTTGCGCAGCGGCTATTGGCGCCATCTAGCGGGCAGTGTTGACAAGTCGCGTTCAATCGACGAAACACTTGCAGTCGTCAAATCTGAGCCACTTAACGAACACTCACAGTGCGCCAGCTTGGCTGGACATCGCGCATACGCCCCAAGGCGTAAGTTGTGTGTTTTGAATGCGAATTATATTCGCTTGAAAAGCGCGATTAAAATGGACTTAATTTTTGTGACCTTTGCAATGATATCAACAATTTTAGCTGCTTCATTTATAGAAAAACAAAACGACAAATCCAAGTTCACACGCTCATCGCACAAATCAAAATCAAGTCGTACTTGACTGCTTATTTACTGCAATTCCTTCCAACTGTTATCCAAATTGTAGCTGGCGTGCAAATTAGCTTTAAGTTGAGCTGAGCTGAGCTGAGCTGAGCTGATCTGAGAAATTTATTTGCATACAGAACTGCCAGAGACCGGAGACATAATGCATTCTAAATTTAGTCAGAAAACCGGTTGCCCACATTTGCTACATTCATTTATATTATGATTTTATTTTATTATTTAGCTCGCACAAAAGCCAAAAGAATAAAAACACAGCCGACCGTGGCTAAACTTAATTCTATAGAAACAATAAACAAGAATTTGTACTATGCTCCATTCAGATAAACATGTACAGATATATACGTATCACTTTCGTATGCAAGCCGCATGCCTGAACTGCTAAGCCGACTCCCCATTAAGCTCATTGGACGATAAACGAAACACATTTCCGAGAGCCTACGACGTGATATTTGTCAAAATGTCGATAAGTCCCAGACTCACAGGGTTTAACCCAATACTTGTTTACCTCAAGTCTAAGATCCTGTTGAGAACCTAAATGAGGTTCGTTGCTTATCGATAGAGTTCTCACTTCTGCATCAGCTGACATTTCGTATATATCCATTGTCGAATGTATATCACTTGCTCCTAATTAATTCACTCCGTTAATTCACTCCGTTCAATAATCACTGCGGAACTGATTTCTAGACGATATTTTCGCTCCTAAAGTAACGTTGGCCAGCCGCGTATCTTGCGACTTTGTTATTGGCCAATTAAGCTAATCAGAGTGCAACTAATCAAATCGGTTCTGAGAGTTTGTAATTAATAAACAACTATGGAACTCATCAACATTCCATTCTATTCCATTCCGATACACTATAAATGAGAAGCGACGATCCCACAGATTCGGCGGGCCAAGAGAAGGTGTAGAAAACAGTATTAGCTCTGTGCCATATGTTCCTTTAAGCAAAAATCATGCATTCCCCTGACTGATTAGCTTACTATTGCCAGCTACTTTTGCTATTATCAGCTGTGCATTATTTAAAATACTTACTTACAGCAATAATACTACCACAAAAAAAAAAAAAAAAAATCATAATAAGACTGTTTGAATAAAAGAATGGCTGCAAATCGAACTGGGGATATTAAACCAATGCAATATCAGTGTTTATGGTCAATAATCAGACACGATAAGAAATGCTGTTGTGGTTTTAAATTTCCATTACGTATTGAATTAGATTACGTTACTGCAATTATCTTTACGTTGAGAAAACACACTGTTCTTGGCACTTTAAGGAAGTAGAACGCAGAACCACACGGACTGACAGCAATCCAGTAATAAAGAGAAACATGTAATTTATATTGTCTACAGATCAACTTTGTAATGGAATTTGTTTAGCTGGCAGACACGATTTTACAATCACAATCCCATGAGAATATGCTTAACTGCAATTGTTGTTGGCGACGAGTTATCAATTATATTGTGTATAACTTTTATTTGAGCCATTAAAGTAATCCATTCAATGCACTTGACAGAGCGCGGTTATTAGGTAACTTTTTAGGTAGATGAGCGTCGGACTACTGCCGCTTCTTGCCATCATATAAGCACCTCTAGGCAATCCAAATGGGGTGAGCTGATAAGAGATTTGACTGATGTGTCTTTGTCATTGTTTATTGTCGTCACAAACTGTCGACCAAACAGATGAGATACAGAAATCCTAGCCCAGTCTGTACCAAAAACAGTGGATGTCAGCGGCAAATCAAGGACTCACCCAGCTTAGATATCACTTTGGCAGATTTATATCAGCCTAATTGTAATTTAATCACACACAAACTGGGCGCACGACCACAAGGTCTGATCCACAATCACAATCATTATTGATGTACGATAATCAATTCATAAATATGTCACGCACAATCGGGCACTTATTGTCGAGAGCTGATAAAGGCACTTTTCATTGGTAAGAACTTACTGCTCCATTATTAGATTCCGTAGCTGGTCCACTAATTACAGCCAGCGTCATTATTTTCGTTGTTTTTTTCAATCACGTGCCTTTATATACACTGAACTCGTGAAGTAATTAAGTTAAGTATACGCCGTGCTGTGCGACGGTTTGCTGTTTATGTGGCGATCGGCGTGAACGGAATAAGCCCGCAAACCTTACAATACATTCCGTTTTAAACACAGAGCTAATACCAATTTACTCAACGTTTTAACTAACTGCACTCCATTCGAAAATAAAAACCAAGCAGAAAATGGTATAAATATAATGAAAAAGCACTCAAAACCCGCTCGCTGCCTGAGTGAGTTTTATGGTTGCAGCCTGCTGTGCTGTGATATTGGAATTTACTTTGAGACTGAGATCATTCGGAATACACATAAAGCGCCTGGCAATGGCTGCGGCTTAACATTAACATTGAACATTGAAATAACGCCTGCCAGCCCGTACTCGTCGGGCTTGGCATGATTTTGCTTTTGTTTTGTCAATGCAAATGATTCAGTACAATTTGTGATGCAGACAGCGAAACGTGCGAATAGACTCAGAGAACCCGACAAATGTTTACCTGTCAAGCTGATAAGATGGAGACACTTTTGTGGGCCAGCGAGCACAGCGACTAGCCTGCGCTTATCTAGACTGCTTAAGGGAAGCCAAACACACACCAAACTCACTCAGATTAGTGCTGGAGTGGTTGTTGTTCCATTAGTCAGTTTTGGCATGCGGCTGCCAAGATTAGGCCAACTGATTGAAGCGTCAGCCTCGTGCCAATCGTGTGCAAGTGCAAAAAGCCACCGAGCTGCTGCTGACAACTGCTCAAGAGGGGCGAAAATAATTAGCTATTATTATCAATGTAATTACAGAAATATTTCAAATTCCACGACAACAGTTGTAAATCAATTTCAGATACTCTTTATAATAAACTTGAAATTTTACAGAATTATTACCGATTGCCATGTGAGCCTTAATCAGCTCTCAATTCTCATTTCCTTTAATGGTGAGTGTGCGTATGTGTGTGTGTGGGTATCTGTTTTCGGAGCGAGAGCAACAGATAAATCAACATCACCCAGTTTTACATTTTACGGTATGCCGAAAAGTACTATGCGCAATTTTTTACTTGATTTTAGTTGCACGCTAAATTTCTATTAAGTATATAATACGTGAAATAGTTGAGATATGAGATGCCCCACAAATTGACAATAACAAGGTAATCATTCAATTAGGCCACCACTTGCATATGCCACATGAGCCATGGGTGGCTAGCAAGATTTCAATATCATACTGATAGAAACAAAGGACCAGATATAATACAAATGCAACTCTGACTGCTAGCAGTCGGGAGTGCCAGACTAGCAGATGACCTAAACAGCATTAATGTTGTACATTTTGGAAGCGAATTTTATACACACCTACTTTATGTACTGTAAGATATTATGTATACGAACTTTGGTTGAAATACCTCTTTAAAGCTCCTCGATTACTCACATATATTAATTGATATCTGCTTTTTACTTAGGAGGAGAAAAGCATACGACATCATTTTGCTCGGATTTAGAGGCGCACAGGAAGAAGAAGCACACAGATCTACATATTACTCAGCTGTTGATCCTGACTCTGAATATAGTTGATATACTCTCCAAAACCAGCATCTGTCTCTTTTGCTGATTATATATATGTGAGCAAAAGCCAGCATACCCCGCGTTCCCATTTTGAATGCGCATCTGAACGGAAAGTGAAATAAAAGTCTGGAATATAAATTATAATTAATAAATGTATTAATATATACATACATATATGTATTTATGTACATATATTTACATATATTTCGCGTGGCTTTGACCCTTCAAGCGACCCTAAAGGGTTACTCCGACACGATTCTAATTTTAAGTTAATAACATGTGTTTATTAGTGTAATGGAATTGTTGTTGATCGCACAAGTTCATGGCGAAAACAATTTTCAATTATGTATTACTTTATTTTTCAGTGTTTATTTTTTTTTATTGTTATGAATATTTTCCGCGTATTTATTTCTATATTTATCAAAATCGAGCCAGAGTCAACTACAATATAGCAACTGTTTATCATATACTCGATTTTCGCTTCTAATTATTCTATGCAATTCATATTTATCTAGATTTGTTTTTTTTTTATTTGTTTTTTTTTGCCAGCAGCGTGCAAATTAAACCATTTAATTAGCGTGTTTACTGGTCAGCCAAATAATTGGCCTGCTTACGTATCAGCTAAAAGGTTTTCTAGTTGACAAAAAAATAGAATTCGCTTAGGGCAGCACTTGCACGGAAATTCTCAATTTAATTAAGAGCATTTCGCAAACAACGATCCGGTTTTAATTATGTAATTTAATTTGAATAAACAACGCAAATCGAATTGATAATTTAATTATACTTTTCAGCAGGTTTCAAACGGTTCGGCAGCAATAGAGGAAACTCCAGCTGCTCTCAAATTAGCACCAATTTCTCAAGACTCGCGGAGGCGACTCTTAGCACCTGGTGCTTAGCTATTCTACCCTTTAAATGGATGAACACGGACATAGGCAATGGAATCTGTGGTCAGAGATGGCAGGCGAATAACATTGTGTGAAGTGCGTAGATAGCATTTGGAGAGATGATCATCAGCTTCAACTGCTTGATTTACATGCTCGATACAGCTCCATATGATTCACGAGACTACCAACTCGCCGCTGACGTCACAGGCCAAACATGTTCAAGAGATGATAATGGGGTCTACGAAACTACGTCAGAGTCCGTGTAACGCCCGACCGGTTTTTAGCAGCAGCTAGACATGGGCCTGGGCAAATGGTTAGCCGGCTTTCGGCTCTGCTCACACTAGCGCTGGCTGGGTCTTGTTCGATATCCAAGAAACTGTAACACACGGCGTATGCGCAATGCATGCAAAACAAAAACTATTGGAAGGCCGCCGCTGCAAATGAAATTTGGCGCAAGCGCGCGAATTCTCTTCAGCGCAAACCGGTTGCGCGCCTGAGAAAGTGCATTAAGGCACTGCTGCCCCAGCCAGCGACACTAACAAAAAGCAAAAAATGTTAATTGACGATTTTGGCAACAACAAAGTGCTCAGCCACTGCAGTCACATACAGTGCCCGCTGAAAGCACCTTACACCTCACTGCGCACTGGTTCTTTCGGCAGTCGAAGCATTGTTACGAGTCCCAGCAGCAATGGTCGAATATTTGGCAACAACTTTTTACGCCTGGCCCTGCCGCGACTGGAAAGCGCTCAAAAAGAAGCCAGTTTATCGTCTTTTATCGTTTTGTATGGCTTACGCATTAAAAGACAAGACGCATCATGTTTACAATTATCGTAGTTGCTTTTTCATGTCATGCCTTCGATAATGTTTGCCGACTGAGAGTGCGCATCGACGACGTACTGACGCAGTCGCAGAGCTAAGTAAATAAAATTAATTTGAGTTCATAAAAAAATAACGACTTTAAGCAAACTTGATATGCTTTATACTATGAATGAATTTCTACTATGAATAAACAACACATTTATATAATTGTACATATTAGATTTAGCTGTAACATTTTTGAGTAATTTTATTGAATTTATTTAATTAATTGTTTGTAAAGTGCACAAATATATTGATCAACTGAATTTCCTTGAAGATCATAAATGATTGATTTAAATGATGTGATTTCCCTCGATGCTCAAAGTTGCTTCAATGATTGCTTTACATAGCCATACATCTTCTAGGTCTCTGTAAAATCAATTCTAAAAGTGGAACTACCTTAAAAAGCTCTAGCCAGATTATGTGAAATTAAGCTGGGACCATTAGCGCGCACATTTGAGTGGATATGAGCTGTAGCATCATATGGTACGCAGTTCGTTCATACGGCATCTCACTCTCATCTCGCTCTCAGTGAGGTTTTTTGTTTTAATGTGATGCCAAAGTCTGTAGTGAATAATTTTATGTGACTGTGGATTCTGCGCGAAACGACGTTACTTAAAAATTTAAGTTACATTTTGACGCTCGGTGTGATTTTCCATGAGACTGGTGGTGCAGCTACCCCGTACCCTGAGAGAACGAGTATTCGTGAGTGGTTAGTTGGTTGCTTGCCTGCTGGCGTTACAATCGGGGGGCAACATTTAGCGGAGTGCATAAAACCGGTGATCCACGTTGGATCTGATTTAGTCGTTAGCGCGCGGGCAACTCGATCACATCGTTCACATCGCAAAGCGTGGATCGTTCCCGTTAGATTCGCTACCTTTGACACCGGCAGCTCGCGATTTTTTTAATATTAGTTTCGGCTTCGGCCTTTCAAGGTGTTTCTCAGTCTTTACTTACTGTAATTTAAAATAAAGTAATTCAATAAACCCGACTCATCACGTGCGAATTGGCGATAATTTACAATCGTGTATTTTCACATTCTGCTAGCATATTACTCAAAAAATAATCTGTTCTTGGGCTCATCGGTAAGTTGTATTCGTGGGCAGTGTCTCAGCACGCATGCTTAAAATTTTTGCGGCTAATTAACACCGGAAGTGTCACAGCATTTGCAAATTACCAAGCATAGCTCAAACCTCTAAAAAACAAATGAAACAAATGAGAAATTCGGAGTCAAGCTTCAGCGCACACTCTCAGGCCGGACTCTGACCAGGCGTGTTGAATGAGTGAACGAGAGACTAGCTGAATAGCTCTTTTGTAGATCTAAATTAATTGCGCTTAAAATTAGCACACAAAGCGTCGAAACTGTAGACGTAAATTATTGATCAAGTGTACGAAAATAGAACAATCTCAACGGTTTCGCGACATGCAAAAAGAGCGTGATGCAAACTCATATGGAGTCGAGTGTCAGCAGTAGAATGTTAGTAGATATATGAAAATAGAGTCGATCATATCTATCCGATTCCCGTTTCCAGTCTGTACTCCTATATGAGCATTAGATGTTGCTGAAAAAGTAGACTAAGTAATATTGCGCAGATCTCGGACTTAGGAGCATTTCTGAAATAATATCTTACTCAAATTTCTCCAACAATTTTACTTGTCTTGCCATCTTCAATTCTGGCTATAATTTCTTCTTTACTAATCTAACATCGGAATTCGCTTTCAAAACATATATGATCAACAGGGAAATCTTCTATATTTCCATTTTGTCCATTATTTAATGATATGCTGAAATGTTAATGATGATAATCGTAACAGAAGAAAGTAGTATAAGCTAATTCGCTTAATTCTTTAGGGCCTATGCAAATATTTTTAAATTCAAATCAAAATGCATTTATTTTTTTTATTTATTTTTTTTTTGCCGCCCTATAAATACGTTAATCAAAATGACATGAGCCCAGATGTGGACAGAGACCTCTGATTAAGATAGCTACAAGAACACGGCTATTACGAAGGCAAACTTCAAATAAGTGGTGCAGCCTTCAATGTGTTAAATATTCTGAGCTCTAAGGCTAAATAGTTGAGTTGGACTATAATTAAAATGTCATTCAATCGTACATAATTGATATGCGTAAATTTTCCGTTAATACAGGTTTCTGCATAAAAGAATCGGAAAATTTTCTCAATGTCAAGCCAAGTAAATGAAATATGCAAGCGAAATAAAACTAAACTGCACTCAGAGCGTATCAAATGTCCATGCAAATAGGCATACGGTTGATAGGTTGATAGAGTCGAGCTGAGTTGCTAGAAATGAAAGGATATTATCAACTAGTCAGTATTTCTCTCAACATGTAAATGATAAAATCATATAATAATCGTAAATTTATATAAAATTCAATTAGAATAAAGGTACTGTTACCTATTGCATACTCGTTCATTTCATAAATTTAAATAAAAGTTAAAGCCAAAATGCAGAGCAAGGCCAACAACTTCTCGACAGCAGTCATAAGCATGACCAATTGATATTGCGAACACGTCGCTGACAAATGACTGTTGAATTTCAAACACAAATAACAATAACAGAAACTCCACAAAGGCCGGCCAGTAAACTTGGCTCATTGAACTCGAACCCGTCGGCAGATCTTGTAAAGTGCTTAGCACACATTATATAAAGTGTCGCGTGCTGATTGAGTTTGATGATATTTCAATTATTCTGTATACACTTGCAGAGGGTATTACAATTCTTATCACGAAAAGTGTAACGCACACAAGATGACAACAAATGCATCAATAAATAAGCTATATATACTCGATCAATAACCGTACCAGGCAAGTCTACATTATGGTAGCTATGGGCATCATTAAAATGAAATAAAAGTTAAAATTTGTATACGTATTCCTCTATCCCACACCCACAATGGATTTTAGATATTAATCATGTGAGCTCAAGCTAGGGAAAGACAAGGTCAGATTAAATCAAATTTGTTGTCTTGTATATCCATAATTGATTAAACGAACATTAATATACATATTTTTTAAATTTAAATTTATTAAATTTATATACACCTTGCAAATAACAACAATAACTCACTATTATGTCTCACCTATAGATAATAGCGAAGAAGGGTATTCGAGCTTTGGCGCCTATATCCACTTAATATTCGCATATTTATGTATAGTATTTAACGCGCTGTTAATATTTGCTAAAACGTCGTTTTTTGCTATTCTACTAATTATTTTATTCATCAAAGCAAATTTGCATCGAATGGTATTGCGCATTTAGGCAAAATCACGTTTGATTTGTGTTTTGTCAAATGGAATTTATTAAGCGTATTGGGTCTTTGGCTGGCGGCATACAAGTTTTTCTTGCCTCTCTGTTTTGGCCAAAAGGTTCGGTGCGAAAGACAGCACGCATCCAGTTTGAACCGGTTGCAGTTAATTAATAAAACAAACTATGAAGTTTTTTTTTCTTTTGCTTTATTTTAGTAAAGTTTCGCATAAATTATTGATGAATAAATTATCTGAAGTATTTCTGCGAAATTAGGTACAACCACTAGGAATAAGTGAGTTTTGTGAACAAAAAAATAAATAAAAATTAAAAATGAATAAATTGACAGAAAAACGTTTTAATTATGGACATACGTAATCTGTAGATTAGAAAGTTATTAATTTTGTATATTTAAATGTTGACTAGGTCCATTCTTTTCATTTCTACTGCTTGTCTAGCGTTTGATATTCTCCCGAGTTTATTCGAGCGGGCAATTCTCCTAATCTATCCATTTGAATATAGTTTCTAGAGCTTTATGTTGCTGTGATTTCAGATGAAGCTTACTCTCAAATTCTATCCTTGCTATTTCGCAGAACTCGTGATGGTTTTCTCATGTCGGAGTTTTTTGTTTTAGATTTGCACTCAAAGCCAATTGCCGTAGTCATTTGGCTACAGTGCTTTTTATGACTTCCGCATACCTCAGATCTGATTGCGGCGTACCTCACACTACGGGCTAGAACAAAAAACTAGCTGTACTTGAAATTATGCATAATTTGAGCTTCCGTACCAAAGTGGGTGTCAAAAATTGGTTGCTCAACATATAGTATAGTCATTTAATTATTCAACCCGAGACAAGCTGATCGATGAATCAGTTGCGAATGACCTTCTGCGCTCGTCAGTTATGTAAGTCAGTGCAGTTGGAAATGTTTCGAATAATATACATACATTATGCAGGCATGCATTCAACCGAATCACAGTATATATAAGTATATATGTATTCATATGTATGTGAAATATGTATGTGAAAGTCGAGAAGTCAACTGGTATAATTAAATATAGCAATTGCTCTCAAAACCGGAAAAATTGCCATAGGTCCACTGATATTTTGATTGACCAAATTTAGTTGTAGTGCCTAGCATTCGGGAATTTTCGACTGGGATTTTGACTTTATCTCCACTAAGATCTTGTGCCTAATAGCGGGCAATAAAATGTCAAATTGTGCATGTCACACGAAAAGATTTTCTCATTAAGAAATAGGCAATTATTTTTTGTTTGTAGATTTGTATATAACAGAAAGTTTTCCTGTCTTTCTTTTTAAAAAGGGTAACAGCAAAGGTCAGCAATGCCAAGCGCTAAATGAAATCACAACAATTTATGTACACTCCGAAGCCACTCACAAGTGACAGTAAAATTGGCTGCAATTAGAAAATGTTAGCACGTTTCATTTGCAACAAGTGGTTGGCAATATTATATATACACATTCCGTCTCACTCTCTCTCTCTCTCTCTCTATCGTTCTCTATCTGTGTCACACTAACCAACACAGACACAATAGAGACCATGTGCCCCGATGCGGGGCAATGATTCCGTCACACTGAACTTGACATTGTCGTGGGTCTGCTTTTAATTTAGATATATGTCAGACTTTTTTGAGCTGCATTTGTTGCTCTTAGATATGTAGATCGCGATCTCTATGGAGAGTGTCAGAAATTAAATAATGATTTTATACACAGAGTACAAGTAAAAGTGCTCAAGTGTGGAAGAGCTCGACTAGGAGATGCCCGGAACTCACACAAAATCAGGCACTCTGCTGACTGCATTAACTAGACTATGGAAAATAAAATAAATTGCATAAGTTTTGTATTAGTTGCACATTCGTAACCAAATTATAGGTCAAATTGCTCTATAGTAAATTTCAAATTTACAGCTTTTGCTGGAATATAAGCTATGCTTAGTAAACAATATATATATATATATATATATATATATATATATATGTATATGTTTTATTA